CGGTATTTGTAAATGATGAGTCCATAGATATTAAACGAAAATTATGCAACTTTTTTTGTAAAATAAAAAACTGATCAATAATTGGTTTTTTTTTTGTAATGATTATCTCATAGAAAACTGTTTTGAACAAAACTTTTTTAGTTTGTAATTTTAAACAAAAAAAGCCCTAACACTATCTTTTCTACCTCTTAAAGTTTTGGAAAATCAATATTTAACTTTTTTTCTTCAACACTATTTAACAACAAAACCAAGATTGAAATGCTTAGAAGACCCTTTTCATATGGATAGATCTTATAATCTAAATAGATCTTTAAAGTTTATTTTAACCATTTTCTAATACCGCACATAGTTTTCGATATAATAGCAAAACACTGAATTTAAAAGTGATTTTTTGATTATTGAACTATTTCACAAAAACCAATATCATAGATCTGCAAGTGTTCTACATGGACGAAGTCGCGGGTAAAAGCTAGTCAACGGTAATAAATGTGCGATATCTATGATTTTTTTGACTTTGCTAACTTACGCAAAGTTTACTTTACATTTGAGTTCTTATCTACTAGTATGTATTCAATTATATAAATTATACAAGGAAATCTGCTATACAAACATGATACAGATAACCATATTATACAATTTTTTTATCCAAATATGCGACCTGGCAGCCTATATAGGACAAAGAGTATAATAATTACGGGAGAATAGAACAGTAATTAGGTACCCTCTTTTCCTGGAACACTTTACCTCTGCTGTTACTCCTACATCTAGTGCAGGATTTGGAAAAAATGGGTACAGAATATTACCAACCACGTATCTATTAATGGCACAGGCTACTACCAAAGAGAGAATAAAAATGTTCAATGTAGCTACTTATATCTACTATACACTTTGCACATGGCATGTAAACAATAAACATAAAATGATAAAACAGTGAGATAGGTACTGATAACATGGTCAGTCGTATATTTGTGTTGCCAACTTGGAAATCGCAAAATAAGCCAAGGCCAAGGTGATCAAAATATTTTAAAATTTCTCTTTAATAGTATTTATAATTTGTTTTAACGTAATGCATAATCGTATGGTTAAGATGTCTGTGTGTTTAATAATGATGAATGTATAACTATAAAAAGAGGTTTACAAAGGTTACGGTAGGTATTCTCTTCCATGTACCGCTCGCTCAATCTGCCCTTTCTATAATCTATAATCTCACGCTCTCGAAACACTTGAATACGAGTGCTAGTCTCTAGAGACTAGTACTTGAGCGTAGTGCTCGCTCGAAATTGTTGGTGACTGTGTTTTCCCAGGACAAATATTCTCACTTCTACCTTCGACCGGTAAGTATAACTTCGACCGAGAGGTCAATCAATCGGACTCGACTCGGCTGAGCAGCGTGCGGGAGATTACGAAACATCTACTCGTCAGGTATACCTCAAAACATAAAAACAAGATTATACATTGAATAAAACCATGTTTACGGATTTTATCGCGTAAGGTTATATGACCAGTGCGTATTGCCAGTAATGACATATGGATCAGAGACGTGGTTCTTCACTGCTGGCCGTATTAGGAAGCTCAAGGTCGCTCACTAAGCGATAGAAGAGGCTATGCTCGGGGTTTCTATGCGGAACAAACTTACAAATGAGGATATTCGCAGTAGAATCAGAACCATAACCCAACGAATTAGTAAGGTAAATTGGCAATAGGCGGGCCATATAGTTAGAAGAACCGACAACCGATGGGGAAGAAAGGTTTTCGAGTGGTAACCTCGTACCGGTAAGTGAAGCGTAGGGCGGCCCCCTCTAGATGGAATGAGGTCGTCACAGAGGAGGTAAGATATACAGGAAGTCGATGAATGCAGGTGGCTCATGATCGTGCTTTGTGGCATTCCTTGTGGGAGGCTTATGTTCGGCAGTGGACTTGAAAAGGGCTGCAATGATGATGTTGGAATGACTATAACCCAAAATGTTTAAAAAAGAAGTGTTTTTTTCAAAACTTCGCAATATTTAATATTACTGTTCGTAAATTAGTCGGTTACAGAGAGACAAAATCTTAAAAATTGTAGTTTATGTGTTAATAGCATGTAAATAATCCCCCGGGCCAGTTTTAGCCGTGGAAAGGAAAAGTGGAGATCTCTCGCCGCGCTAGGGAGTGGTAGTTCAGAGCTCTTCCATATACACCGTTCCGTACCGCTATATACACCGTTATATATAGCGTTCGGAACTTTGATAACGCGATTTAGGCTTCGGTGCGTTTCGCTTGTGGCGCGATTACAGCGCCGGCACATCACCGCCTTGCTCAGACCTTGCCTAGCTTAGCGGAGGTCGATAGTGCATTTAGTTGTCGACGAATGTGCAAGTGCCAAAAATGGCCTTGTAGTCTGCGGTGAGTCGAGAAGAAGGCAAGTAATCTGCGAGAGTGCCGTGAAGCATATTTATACGCGGTAGAGCCATGCTGCAGCTATATATCAGTAGTATAGTTGTAGCACCAATGAGTCGGCCCAACCGGGAAAGGACCACGCTCTTACAGAATATATATATAATATATCTTACAGAATAAAAAATAGCAGCTTAACGCTGCTGTGTTTCATATGGTGAGTGTAGAGAACCGGAGAGCCCTTTTACTGGAAACGAGGCACTCATCTTAGACCTCGCGCGTGGCAACACATCTGCATTTTATTCGTTGTTGAGGATAGATGTAGTCACAGCAACTACTTTCCATCAGGTGGACTGTGTGCTCGTTTGTCACCCTATCCTATAAAAAAAAGCAGAGGCGAGCAGTAAGGTCCAGAGCCGTGCCGAATATTGTAACGCAGAGAGTAGCTTGAAGGAACAGGAAGCATTATTCCATTGCTGCGATGAGCCTCGTGAAGGTATATGGCTTACAGGATCTGAAGACTGCAGACAATATCTGCTCGGGAGCGAATGTATGTGGTACTTGATGATAATTAATAGAATATAGAAATAATAGTGTTTATATTTAGAATTTCTATTTGTTTGCTATATTATGTGGATGGTGTACTTATTTAATTATGTAAGAAGATATAAGAGTGCATTTATTCGCCAACAAACTGTCTTTACAGTTTGGCGAAGTTATAAAATTATGTAATGTTTTTGTAAATATTAGTAAATAAATAAAAGCTTGAAGTTGAAGTTTCTGATGGTTGTTGGTTGCTTGTTCACATCACGTCGGTTGGTCATCAATTTGGTCGTGGAAGGAAAAAGGGAGATCGCCGAGCAAGGTGTTCAGACCGGGGAGTAGCTAACGCTCCTTTAGATAGTTCGGAGCTATTTTATATATAGTGCAGTACTTCAAAAATTTGATAGCGCCATATAGTCTTCGGTTTCCGTATATACACTCTTATCTATGGTCTTCGGCGTGTTTCACTTGTGGCGCAACGACAGTGCCGTGAACATTTCAATATTACACTAGCATTTCAATATTACAAACATTTAAATTATATTTATATGTATAGATTACGACTACCCTTTATATGACAAGTTTTTGTGATTTATAAATTAGTTGATTTAAAAGACAAAACAACATGATATGTATAGATATTTTTATTTTGTGAATTTCTATCCTAGTTTTGTAGATTGCTTGTAATGTAATAAAGCACGCATATGATACCATATATTATACAGTATAATGTGATATTTTCCATTATTGCTTTTCATAGACTTAGATTACTCTAGATAGGTACTGTACAAGGCACACGTTCACGTTATAACATCTAGGTACCTACAAAATAGATTTCTTTGCATAATTTAGTAGAAATATCAAATAAAAATTAAGAATATTTATTCTACATTCTTAAAGCAGATAACAAAAACTCTTACATTATCTAAAACAACTAAAAAAAAATTACATTTGGGCTATTTGTACACTAATGCCAATAAGTTTGCAATACATCTTAAATTATTAACATAATTTAAATAAACGATTAAAAAATCGTCAAATAAGGAGGAAATCCCTAATTATTGCATTTATGATTCCACATTCGATTAAATTGTAACATATATTTTTTCGGTTCTTTAAATATTTAAAGAAAATTATTAAGAATTTGTTCTCTTTTATAACACGCTACACGGCAACTGAAAATATAGCTCTGGAAACACTGATCCTCGCCAACCCTGACCATTTGTACCGAAGGTACGCTATAGGAGAGAATTGATGTTTTGCTATACAATATGCCACTGTCGTGTTTGTGAAGGGATTTTTTGTTTTTCTAACTACGCTTATTATAAACGATTTAATGATTTTCTTTTATTCAAACGCATTTCGCTGTGTATATGGTGAAGTTAACCTGGTAAAAGTTTTCATTCAATTTGAAGAAGAATAAAAAACATTAGAATTTGATTAGAAATAAAAGAACTTTGGTTTCAATAAGTTTTCAACTTACATTACATGATTTTTTTTTTCAGTATCTTAAAAAAATAACGTATATTTATTTAGATATAATTAACTAATAGATTTCTTACAATTTTTTTTTACTTTGTTTTGTACTCATTTTTCTCAAGATTATGTTGTGTACATTCAAAACAAAAGAAGAAAATAATATTTTCTAGATTATTCGTACATTGAAGATAATATTTGCACCCTTATTTGTTCGAATTGTATCGAATATAATTAATAATTATCAAAATTTTCATAAAAATGTACGTTCTGTTTTCTTAGAACCTAATGAAAAATTACAAGAACTAATAAATGCTTGATTTATGCTACAGAAACTTAAAAGTGCCACAGACACAATACTAATATTACAATGTTTACTTGAATGATGGTGAACAATGTGTTTACTGTAGAGATTGTGTCATCAGTCACTAATTAATAATTTGCAGATATTAGAAAGTAATAAAGAAATCAGCTTGGGTATAGACGTTTACAATTTTTGCAAAAAATCGTGTTAAAACAATAGCTTTTAGCAAAAATCATTTATTTTTATTATTTAATTTAACCGTTTATAATTTCAATTAAAAATAATTTGTTATCTTTCGCCTTATTTAAGTGAGTCTCCCAGATCTAGCATCCGTAATCACACCCCAAAGCTCTATGATAAATTCATCAGTAAACCCAAATTCCTGCAGATCACTATTGTCGATAGCTTCGGCAAGTTGCATCGAATTTGTCTTGCCTTCCGCTATGTCCCACATCTGTGTTGCTAGTTCAGTGTCATTTATTCCCATAAACGATTCTAAGAGTCCATTTATTTTTTCTATTCCAGCTTGTGATTTCTCGTCATGCTAAAACAAAACATTGTGCGTTAATACACTCAGCACTATATTTAATGAAAGTATACGTTCTAGATAAAAATCAACGTAGTTACTTGAAACATCTTAGGTACCTACATATTTTATTTATTGAAATGTATAGATACCTATTTAAATCCTTACATTAATTTATAAATTCATTGCAGCCTATCAAAAGTCCACTGCTGAACAACTGCTGAGGGAGGCTTTCCCAAAGACTGCCTTATTGCGGAATGTTTGCCATAGTTGCCACGCTTGGCTAGCGGATTGGCATCATTGCCATTCCGCTAGCCATTGGCAAGTCGAATTAAATTACATTGCTCGGCATTATATTTTCATAGATATCCAAACTTCGAATATATTTAACAGTGTGAAATATTAAATGATAAATATATATTATATATATATATATATATATATATATATATATATATATATATATATATATAATAATAATAATCAATAAATAATAAATAAATGTTTAAGCCAATTAATACCCCTTAAAACTAGTAATTCCCAAAAAAATGTGGTTGCAAACCCACCTGCCACGCATGCTACCTATAACTTCAGCTATCTGCCAGTGAAAGTCCCGTCGAAATCGGTCCAGCCGTTTCAGAGATTAGCCGGAACAAACAGACAGATAGACAGACAGACAAAAAATTTTAAAAATTTGTTTTTGTTATAAGTACCGTATATACTTTCATATGCATTTAGTAAAAAGCTGTTATTTTGACATTACAAACAGACACTTCGATTTTATTTATTTGTATAGATAAAAATAAAAGGAATTACAATTAAACTTGCCGTCGTGTTTAATCGATTATTTTCAAATGTGCACTTTTTGTTTATATACGATATATACTCTAGTATTGTCTCTAATGATTTTGACGGGAATTTTGTATTTAGTTAATGAAAAAAAAAATGCCTCTCCATTTGGTAGAGACTAAACGTCTCACACCTGTGACGCTGCTTTTAGTTACAAGTCTGGGTATTTTATTTACATCCGGCGTAAACCGGGTGGTACCGCCATTCAGCCATCGAGACCCTTTTTATTGGAAACGAGGCATTCCATCTTAGTCCTCACGGGTGACAACGCATCTGCATTTTGATTCGCAAACGAAGATAGATGTAGATGTCTGTGGGCCTCAGCAACCACTTACCATCAGGTGGACTGTGTCCTCGTTTGTCACCGTGCTTCTATAAAAAAAATCCGTTTCATGATGAAAGAAACAAGGTAAAGAATTATCTCACTCTTAGTCTGATAGTAATCATATTAAGGGATAAGTTTGAGTAACAGCAATTCGTAATGTGATCGACCTAATTGAAAGCGTTATCGATAATTTTCTGAATTAGCATGCCTAATGACTCATGTATGTATCATGATTACCAACCTCGTTCTCAATTGTTGCCTGGCCATTGGCTTTAAACCTAAGAGTTTCTTTCCCTGACCCGTAGTTTTGTTTTTTCCCCGATCTGGCACTACTACTCTTCGGTCCAATACTTCCAAAGCCACTTTTCAATGGTTCTACGAGTCGAATTGTAAACGTGGTGCCCTTTGGAATGTCTTTCAAAAATTTTGCCACCTCGTAGTGTCTCTTGCCAACCATATTTTCCCCGTCCAATTTCTCAATGTGATCTCCAACCTGAAAAGGATAAAGATTGTGATCGCGACAAGCTACTTATGCTCACAATAGTTTATTTCCTGTTCCTGTTAATTCTTAATAAGGTGAATGAACAGACGTTTAGTTTCTGGAAGTTTACATTGTTTTTATCTGTATTAAAGTATAGTTATTAGTTATTACTATAACACGTTTTGATAATTGTACTTTTCTTCTCTACAACGATATCACTTCATAAAGATACGTTAATGATTATTGCACATCTATATGTATACAGGGTTATTTTGCAATAATCGGCCAATTTTCGGAGAACATTCAGAATAAGTCTTTTTCATCAAATCCATACGTGTAGGGTACTTATCTATGGATATGTCCTCAAAAATGATATTGAGGTTTCTAATATCATTTTTTTCTAAACTGAATAGTTTGCGCGAAAGACACAAAGGCAGGCAGATTCAAAGTGGTAAAATGTGTTTCCCAAACCCCCCCCCCCCCTCTCCGGAACTTCTAAAATAAGAGAATAATAAAACTTAAAAAAATATATGATGTACATTACCATGTAAACTTCCACCGAAAATTGGTTTGAACGAGATCTAGTAAATAGTTTTATGTCATAAATCGTAAATCGCAATTTACCTTTCATTCAACCAACTCAAATATAAAAATAAAAAAAGCATTTAATTTCATAAACATAAACCTTATGCATAAACCGTGAACCATTATTTTCTAATAATAAATCTGTAAAAGGTGCCTAAGTAAATAATAATTATAATTCGCGAGGGGCCTGGCTTGATCGGTAGCGGGTACGTAGCGCGCGGGGGGCAGCTTCTCGATCCCGACTGCGCTTACCCGAGCGGGCAGACACGTGCGGAGTTAATTTTTCTAAATTTAACATTAAATGTTAAATATTGTACGTTAACTTTTTGATACTGTTTTCGTTGGGTAAAATTAATTTTAATTACTTAGATAAATAAATTCATAGATAAAATCAAAGTTAGAACGAACTACAAGAACTTTTATATTATGTTACTTGCTGCTACGGAACCCTTCATGGCCAAGCCCGACTCGCACTTGGCCGGCTTTTTTCTTTTAAATTCAAAATGCGTGGTAATGCGTTATTATAACTGATTTTACTGCGCACGCACATATTCGAAGGGTTGATCGGTAGGCAAAAACGTTGTTGTCCATAAATCACATTCGATTAAATATCGATGTTATTGTATTATTAGTTTTCCTTTAATAGCAATTTTAAAGTGGAAACCTAAGTTATGTAGTATAGTTGTTTTCAGAGCAAGTTTATACTAAGTACAGCATATTCACATAGGTATTATAATAATGTGCCCGTGTTTGGGTCATCTATTCGTGTGTTAGAGTGAGAATGAGGTGATCGCTACCATGCTGTTTCTATAATATTTTCCTATTCAATTGTACAACAAATTATTATGTATATTGTAAACTAGCGAATCGCCCCGACTTCGCACGTGTGATTTCTGGATTTCCACAACAGTTCCAGTTTAACAGTAGTAGAGCCACGCGGCAGCTTCTGCTGTCACACGGATGGGCCAGCTCGAACCGGGGTGGTACCACGACCTCACAGAATACCAGCGTGAAGTAGAGGTTTACCTCTGCGTTCCGCTTGGTGAGTGCAGGTGGCCGGAGGCCCGATCCCCCCCCCCCCCCATCAACATGGTAGCGGAATTGAACATAAGACTACCCCAGGAGAGTACCAGCACCCCTGGAGAATCTCTCGCTGAGCATCCATGACCAAACTACTCCACTCCTGGGCGTGGGTGCTCACGCTGCCCCGCGTATTCTGGGGGGGGGGGGGGGGGGGCGAAATTCCGCCCAAGACGAAACCTGCTCGGGGCAAGCGGAGCAAGAAGACAAAGGCAACCCCTGCCACGCTTTCCGTGGATTTCTGCAATATCAGGGGGACTTCATTCAAACCTTAAGGCGCAGGTTGAGCAAAATGTCGCGCTAGTCGTTATTTGGGCGGTTTTTAGGAGCTATCTACTTTTTATTTAAAAGATATATCAACAAATAAAAAACACATTATATTTCTACATAATCTTGATTCCATAAAAGCTATATCCAATTTTTTTTTAAAGGAATAAATATTAATATAATCTCCTTACAACGAAACCACATAAATGTGAAATTATTATTGATAACATGCATCTCCTCGTAAAGTAAGTATTATTTTATTTTGCGATTTACACCATTGGATAGGCAATTTATTAATGAACATTTCTATAGTAAAATTTTTTCAAAAGACCAAAATTTGATTTTATTAAGAAATTATTTTAAAATCTGGGCGTATTTACTGCTCACGGGCTTGCTGAAGTCAGTGAGCGCTGAGCTCTTCGACGTGAAGCTCGTGTCGTTAGAGCGTCGACCGACGCATACGCCACGTCATATGAGTCGATAATATTATTACTTATTAGGTTATTTATAGGTAGTATTATTTGTTTGTTTTGGGTATAATTTTTCGTATTAGTTATACATATATTTGTTGTGTTTTTTACTGCGCGATGAAGATTTTTGCGTGTATTTTCTTTGAAGTAAATGCAAATAAAAAAATGAAGCACCATTAGCATGGAAGGTTCGAATCCATAATTAAAATTTCGACAAATATTATAATTTACACTATAAAAGGCTAATTCAATATTATCACCCAACCACAATATCTTATCAGGTATAGTACTGCCTCGTTGGTCTAGTGGTTGTAGTAGTGCGACTGCTGATCATGAGGTCCCGGGTTCGAATCCTGGGTCGGGCCAAAAAGTCAGTTATGAGTTTTTCATTTATGTTCTAAGATATAATTAGTATTACTAAGTTATAGTTTTTTGCTAAAATATAGTATATTATTTATTGCTTGTTTTTTCTTCTTTTTCAAAAAATAATTGAGTACATAAGGTGTTCTATACTTCTATCTCGGTAAAAAGTACTAATATACCTACTTTTTACTATAAACTAAAAATTTTTAAAACTAAATTTAACTAAAAAGACTAAGCTGACCATTTATTTTTTAACTCATAACAGGACATGGGTTTATTTATACTCTAAAAACTATAACTTTATACAATTAGTGTTCACTATAAAATTATATTCGGTATAGACGGTAATTATTAAATGCAACATATTTTTTTTAAATTATTAATTACATTTGTCAGTGGATTAAATTTGCTTTAATAAAGTTGGTGATGATTTTAAATAAGAATAAAATTCTGCTCAAGTTTTTTATTGTTATCTTTGTTAACAACATCGCCTTTAGAACTCTGGAACCGTAAGTGTTTCTTTCAGACGTCCACAATTTATGCAAAATAAAAAAATACTCTTTCTACCGGAGCATTCGTACCAGGTTGACATAAAATATATTCGATTAAAAAAAATTATGTTGAAGATTGTTGACTTTGAATACTTCCATCCAACGAGTTACGGGACAATTTTGTGTCCCGGTGCTTTGTTTGGGGACAATGGGACAGGAGACCGAGAAAAGGGACAGTCCCGTTCAAAACGGGACGTATGGTCACTTTAGCTATAACCCGGCGACCATGAAGCAAATACAAAGTTAGTCTTTGTATTAGCTTCATGGTGGCGCAGTGGCTTAGCAATCAGTTGTTGCGCTGGGGGCCGCGGGTTCGAATCCCGCATGGAACAAGATTTGTATGGCCTACAAATAATTGTTCCGGGTCTGGATGTTTGTCTTTGTGCAATTTATGTTTGTAAACTGCCTCCACGACACAGGAGAAAATCCTAGTGTGGGTGTAACGTTTTTTTACAACTGAAATTGAAAGATTGAACCCTTATACTTCTTGTTGATTTTTGTATTTATATATTTTTATCGCACCAAATATTTGTACAAAAGCCGAGTTATCTATTTATTTACCTATAGTGAATAGGTATCTTTTAAACTCACAATTTTCAATGCTTCCGTTTATATAATTAATTATAAAATTTCATAATTAGATAATATATGAAAATACATAATTCTAATATAATGCAACTAATATATACAGAATAAAAAAATTAAAATACATTTATCTTTGTACGCTATGTGTATTTCCATAAAACAGTTTATTGATGTTGAAAAAATAATACTACTTTCGTACAATAGGTGGCGTCTTACATATTTCTTCCGGCGAGCCGCTCGCTACAATATATTAATATTGTAGCGAACGGCACGCCGGTCAAATGCTCAAGGTCGTTCGCATGAAGTAGCCCCTTAACGCCGTCCACTACCAAGTGGAGATAGCTAAGCCGGCCTTGCTCTTTCTAACCGAGACACAGGTGTCCTCTCCGGCTGATACTTCGTATCTCTCCTACCCGGGGTACAAATTGGCGCTCTTAAAAAGAAGTATAATTCCGTCTCCAGGTCCTTCAAAAGTGTCATTGCCAAGGCAAAGTCAGAGCACATCGGCAGAATTGGCGAGAAACTAGTTCGCCTCCCGTCGGGAACACGTGCATTCTGGTCTCTCGCCAAGGCTGTCCAAGGGAACTTCTGTCAGCCATCTCTGCCATCTCAGAGGGCGGACGACTCACTGGCCCATGACGCAAAAGAGAAAGCCGATCTGCTAGGCTCTGTTTTTGCTTCCAACTCGACTCTAGATGACGGGGGGTACACACCGCCGACAATCCCGCGGTGTAAGTGCTCCATGCAGGAAGTGCTATTTACACAGCGCTCGGGCCGTAAAGCACTCCTCTCCCTGGACGTCAACAAGTCGAGTGGGCTTGATGAAGTCCCACCTATTGTGCTGAAGACGTGTGCTTCGGAGTTGGCACCGGTTTTAACGCGTCTTTTCCGGTACTCCTACTCCATTGGCGTAGTCCCGAACTCATGGAAGACAGCTTTGGTGCACCCTATCCCTAAAAAAGGCGACCGCTCAGACCCGTCCAACTACTGACCTATTGCCATCACCTCCTTGTTCTCCAAAATAATGGAATCCATTATAAACTGACAGCTCATGAGGTACCTTGAGGATCACCAGCTGATTAGTGATCGTCAGTACGGTTTTCGTCGAGGTCGATCAGCTGGTGATCTTCTAGTCTATCTGACTCATAGATGGGCGGAGGCAGTAGAGTCCAAGGGGGAGGCGTTGGCCGTTAGTTTGGACATAGCGAAGGCCTTCGATCGGGTTTGGCACAAAGCGCTTCTTTCGAAGCTCCCTTCCTATGGGCTTCCCGAGAAATTGTGCAATTGGATCACCAGTTTTCTTGCAGATCGGAGCATCAAGTTCGTAGTAGACGGTGCATGCTTCGATTACAAGTCCATTAACGCTGGTGTTCCACAAGGCTGCGTGCTATCACCAACACCGTTTTTTCTGCATATCAATGATATATTGCAAACCAGTAACATTCATTGCTATGCGGACGACAGCACTGGTGATGCTTTATACACCGGCCGTGCCAATATTTCTCGGGAAAACGTCGCCGATTACCGGAACAAACTTGTGTCTGAAGTCGAGACTTTGTTGAACAAAGTCTCAGACTGGGGTCGACTAAATCTAGTCCAGTTCAATCCCCAGAAGAAACAAGTTTGCGCGTTTACTGCTAAAAAGAACCCCTTTGTCGTATCTCCTCAGTTTCAAGGCACTCCCCTTGTTGCCTCAGCCAGTATCGGAATCCTTGGTGTCGAAATATCGAGTGACGTGCAGTTTCGTGGTCACTTGGAAGAGAAGGCCAAATTGGCCTCTAAAAAGCTTGGCGTGCTCAGCAGAGGGGGAGAGTATTTCATGCCGGCACACCGCTTGCAACTTTACAAGGCGCAGGTTCAGCCTCACATGGAATACTGTTCCCATCTCTGGGCAGGGGCTCCCCAGTGCCAGCTCCTTCCACTTGACCGCATCCAGCGCAGGGCGGTTCGAATCGTCGACGACCTAGTTCTTTCCGATCGGCTTGACTCATTGGCACTGCGCAGAGATGTTGCATCTCTTTGCGTATTTTTACGCTTCTATCACGGGGAGTGCTCTGAGGAATTGTTCGGACTAATTCCAGCCGCCCAATTTCACCATCGCACATCGCGACAAAACTCGCGATACCATCCATATCATCTGGATGATTGGCGGTCCACCACTGTGCGATTTAGAAGAAGTTTTCTTCCTCGCACAACTTCCTTGTGGAATCGATTATCATCAGCGATTTTTCCGGACCGATACGACTTAGGGACCTTCAAGAAAAGAGCGTACTCCTTTTTAAAAGGCCGGCAACGCATCTGCGATTCCCCTGGTATTACAGTTGTTCATGGGCGGCGGCTGCGGCATTATATCTATTATACCTTAGTAAATAGTCACTTACCATCAGGTGAGCCGCATGCTCGTTTGCCCCCTCTCCTATAAAAAATACCTACCGGGTCCAATTGTGAATCAAAGCCATCCAGGGACCCACTCAAACACACACAATCTTTTTATCACAATCGGTCGAGCCAGTTTCGAGTTTTAGCGAGACTAACAGACAGCAATTGATTTTTTATAGGTATATAGAGATTATGTAATCATTGTTCAAGAAATAGTCCCGCTGGGTTTCTTCATGGTTCCTCCCAGGACAGAGGTTTTCTTTCGAACCAGTGGTTAAACATAAATGACTTTCAATAAGTATTCTTATAATCTATATTAATAAAAAATATTCTATACTATGTTACAAAAATATTACATAAAAAATATGACATGTCTAAGACATATTTTTTAGACTTTACCGTCTATGGTCTTTTTAAGACGTAGGTAAAATATGTGCTTATGGAAAAAGGATAGGAACATACATAATAAAGAAAAAAAACTTAAAACTGTTTAAGCTGAATCTTACCTCTATGTGGGGTATCCTTGATACTATAGAACCTTCTTTTATCCTTTTAATAAAAGCATACCCAGCGCCATTATCTGTGATAGTTAATCCAAGGGCATCTTCAGTTTTAACTATTTCAATTTCTTTTGGTCTTCCTTTTCTATGTGCGAATATAAAATCTTCTAATCCTATTTGTCCGCCTAGAAGTTTCCTCATGTCTACTTTGTGGGTATTCAGCGTACAGAACAGGATCTGAAACCATAAAAATGTATTCTTAACACATATATATGAATACTTAAGTTAATAAACTTTTGATGTATAAAGACCAAATAGTTTTACGTATTACAGGCATGCTGCACCAAATGATGGTAAATGGATGCTGTTCTAATCTACATTTATCCTCGATTAATAATCAAAATGCAGATGCGTTGTGACCCCTGAGGACTGAGATGTAATACCTCGTTTCCAGTAAAAAGAGTGTTTGGTTCTCTACACTCACCACACGAAACACAGCAGCAGTAAGCTGATATTATTCTGTGGGATTCTGCTGGTGTTTTGTGAGAGCATGGCTCTAGCCCGGTCGAGCCTTTATGAACTTTTGAACAGACTTAAAAATTATTTCATGCATGTTTTGAAATGTATGTAATGTATACATGAAAACAATGTACAGACATTTAATTAGATCTACTATCTAAAGAATGTCAGTGAAACGATAAAACCTTCGTATTTCACCATTTATATTTAAGCCACATTAAGGTTTTTATAATAGGTATATTAAGTATTAACTTTTATAAAAAAAAAATCATCATGTAGGAAATTTCAAGAAAAATTAATTTGCCCTTTACGTCAAGTTATTTGATCGCATAGTTTTGGGAGTTAATAGCTCATTTAGGACACTTTTATGGGAGCACATTTAAACGAAAATAACGAAGCCAACTCATCAACAACCGCTCAAACTTAGCGAAGGAAAATCCTTTCTCCAATCGGCAATAGCGCTGAAATCGAGACGTTTGGATTAGGTCGCGTAGTCCATCCATAATTTGGGACATCTACTAGAAGAAATATAATCTGAGGTATAAAATCTTTTACAAATATATTATAAGTACAATATTATCATTTATCACATAGAAACGACACAGTCAATTAAATAAATGATTTTATTTTGCAAAAAGTTCTTGACCAAACAAAGTAATATAGGACAATAATTGATATAGTCATCATTATTAAAGACGGTATATTAGAGATGGTAGACCACAATTTTTGGAATTTCTAAATCTTCTGGCCTACCACTACACAGTTTGATGTTAAAGAACACAATAAAACAATGTACTGAGAAGCGTTCATGTGATGTAACGTACTAATTAACTTCCTAGCCACATTCGTCATTAATATTAAAAATCTATCTCTATCCTGTACTCAGTTCAATGCGCTCAGTTGTTACGAAATTTATTTTCTATTGTTTTACTGTAAAACTAAATAGCTTCTGGTGGCGGATTCGTTGCTATAGTTTTCTTTTTGTTTCTAAAAGTATCCTCTGTTATTTCCAATTATTATTCATACATATTTCCGACCACCTAATCCTAGGCCCATCCTACACGTGTCCCCCGGGTGGTGCTTAACAAGCGACAAAGCCGAAAGAAGAGAATTGGCTCCTCGCAATGTGGTTGCGGCGTAAAAAATACCACCCCCTACTTTCGCACCATGAGGCAAAAAAGAAAAGAAATGTCCTCGAGTTCCCGGCGCCCCTCGAGTGGGGCAGGGGTGCGAAGAATCTCCGAGAGGAAAACCGGCGACGATGTTCACCACCCGTCACGTTCTGTCTCCAGGAGGGGCGAAAAGTGGATTGCCGAACCTACCACGGGTCCAACGTAGGGACGGATAATTACTTGGTCTTATGCCGAATTAACGGTCTATTCAGACGTTGGCGGCATCGGACATCTGTGTCTACCACTGCGTTACAGCGTATAAGAACAGAGACGTTACAAGATGAAAGTGTGAAAGAGAAGTTCAAATGTAGTCTGAGAGAAAATATACATAAGTGGTTTCATTGAATTGTGTATGAATGATTTTGGACTTGGAGACTGTGTGGTGGTACAATGTCAAGAAAGGTTTGGTAGATGTAGCTACCGAAGTATGTGGTGTAAGTAAGAGAACGAATGAAAGGATATAAATAACACTTTATGGTGGGATGATGAGGTACGGATGGAAGTTGAAGCAAAAAAGAGAGCACGGCTACATTTACTAGCAACCAAGTCCAGTTATTCTAGCGATATGAATGATGATATTGAAAGAAAAAAGGCAGTCTTTGGACATCTAAATAAGATAGTAAAAGAAGTAGTTGAAAGGAAAAAGCAAGAAAGAACAGATAAGAATGATTGAAGAATATTGCATAACTTCCACACAAATATTAAAATGTTTTGGAAACTCGTAAGAACTGCCAGGGGACATTCAAACAGCATAGAATGAATACTATACGAGACCAGAATGGCTATATTTTGAATGGCGAAGTTTCGAGATTTAAGGAGATGGAAGAAATACTTTGAAAGCGTGTTTATGAGTGATGAGACATTTGAATTAAGTGAAAAAGAAATTTCGAAAGAAGAGGAAAGGGACAGATATAATGGTAAGTATAGATGAAATAATGAAAGCAATGAAAAGTATGAAAGCAGGTAAGGCAGCCGGATATAATAGAGTATCACTAGAAATGCTAAGGGCTGGAGAGGGGATGGTGGCAGACTTGCTGTACACCTTGACTTACTTAAGCGGGTACCGGGAGACTGATGCAAAGCTGTGATAGTCCCAATATATAAGGGAAAAGCAGCAGGACAGTAAAAACTACCGTGGTATCAGCCTTCTTAGCATTGTGGGAAAACTATATGCTAAGGTACTAATTGAAAGAGTTATGAAAGACACTAATGGAAAAATTTGGGATGTGCAAACGGGATTTAGAAAGGAAATAGGGTGTACGGATCAGGTCTTTTCCAACAACGTTGATTGCGGAGAAATTTTCGGCCAAAAACAAAAAGTTATTTGTGCGTTCGTGCTCTTGGAAAAGGCTTATGACAGAGTGGACAGGGATGTGTAATGGCAAACACTGAACTCACTTGAGTTGAGCGCTGGGTTGACGGGCATTGAGTTCTCTGTATAGTTACTCCAGTGCTTGTGTCAGGAACAACGGGGCATACTCGGACTGGTTTGACATCCATAAAGATGTCAGACAGGGCTGTGTAGCTTCCCCGTGGCTGTTCAACCTATTTATGCACAGTTGTTTGGAATATTTGAAAGTTGAAGAATGCGGGATAAGAATGGGTGAGTTAACCGTCAAATGTCTTTTGTACTCCGATGATCAAGTCATACTTGCGTCGTCGGCGGCTGAATTGCAAATTATGGTTACATTAATGAACAGACCATTAAAAGAAAGGGGAATGAAAGCTAACGCAAGAAAGACGAAAGTTATGGTTTTTGAAAGAGAAGAAAGTAAAACGATATGTGAAATAAGAATAGAAGGGGAACTGGTCGAGTAAGTAGATGAGTTCGTGTATTTGGCATGGGTATTTAGCGGAAATGGTAGATATGATAATGATATAGAACGACGAGTGAAGTCAAAGTGAAGAGAAAGTCAAAATGTGTCCGAAAAAATTCACAATTCTGTGTTAGTTCCTACTTTAATGTATGGTAGTGAAAGTTGTTTGTAGCAGAAGAAACACGAGAGTAGAATAAATGCTGTAGAAATGCAGTCATTAAGGAGTATGTTAGGGCTGAATCTGAATGACAGGATGAGAAATTGTGTGATAAGAGATTGTGGTTTGCAAGATGATGTTGTGACCAGGATTAAGAAAGAAATGGTTCAGTGGTTCGGTGATGTAGAAAGAATGAATGAGGAAAGAGTGACAAAGCAAATTTATGTTGCTGAGGTGAACGGCAGAGTCGGGAAGACGCCCTAGGTAAAAGTTTATCGACCAAATTGGCGATGTATTGAAAATGGGCCAAATTAAGATTACACTTAACCGACGAGCGTGTATGTGTAGGTATCAGGATCGTACCAAATGGAAGTCCGTAGTCTCTGCCTACCATCTGGGTGACAGTCGTGAATGTTAATGTATGTTATGTATTCATACATATTTGTCGAGTTTCATTACATTCCGTACGTTAGTTTGAGCGTTCAGTGGTAACAAACATACATCTTCATATTCCATAGTTTTACCTTTATAATCTTAGTACGTTTCGAGGTCATTGAGATATTAATACGTACTAGAGTATACACCGCGAAGCAAGTTGTTGCACAACGAGTTGCTGTCCAGTGGACCCTCAATGGGCGCGGCTCCTCACAAATAAAAATTGTCTATTGAGACACGTGTGAGGTAACATTCCGTTATGGCAATTATATATATATATATATATATATATATATATATATATATATATAGATAGATAGATACACTTAATTCTTCCTAAATGGCTGTACCCATTTTGATTAATTTTTGTGAGTCTCTGGATGATTTAGAATTACAATCTGACCCTGTGGCACTGTTGTCGAGATCCAGAAATCACCTGTGGATATTTCTAATGATTTTCGCATAATTTCAATATTATTATAATTTAATTTTAATATTTTATTTTTTATTATAATACTAGCTGATACCTGCGACTTCGTCCACGTTGCATGACATACAAAGTTTTCGTATGTGCGAAGGAAAAAACGTCAAAAAGACAAAATTTCTTTGTAAACAACATTAATCGTTGCTCCGTTTGTAGCTAAAATGTATAAATTATCTGGGTTAGTAACGCGAGAGCAAGCGACGTACAGCGGACCTTGTGAAAAACCCCGTATAAAAATCGTTATTTCTTAATATATTAATAACTTTATATTAAATGAAGATATTGAAATAATATATAATATATATTTAATACTACCTACCTGTTCGCCCTAAAAAATTAAAACACAGGAAATCGTAGTAAACTCCACGCGGGCGAAGTCGCGAGGGACAGCTAGTATGTAATAAATATATATACAAGTATTATATTTATACAAATAAATAAAATTGAAGTGTTTGCTTGTATTGTCAAAATTACAGCTTTTTACTTTTTTATAGGAGAGGGGGCAAACGAGCATGCGGCTCACCTGATGGTAAGTGACTACCGCCGCTCATGAACAACTGCAACACCAGGGTAACCAGGGGAATTGCAGATGTGTTGCCGGTCTTTTAAAAAGGAGTAGGCTCTTTTCTTGAAGGTCCTTAAGTCGTATCGAT